CTAGAATTTCTCTTGCTAAGCAGACTGGTCCTTAAGTGAGTCATGCTTGATTTTACAATCTTTACTGCCATAGTTATTAAGCAAATCACATGGTCATTAAGCGAGCTTTCTCCCCATTGACTTTGCTTGTTGGAAGGCAGCTGGGAATGGCAAATGGCAGTCACATGACCTCAGGTGCTGCAACCATTTATAATGGTTGCACACACCAATGCCCAAATTCTGATCATGTGACTATGGGGATGCTGAAGTGGTTGTAAGTGCAAGGACTGGTTGTAAATAACTTTTTTCAGTGCCATTGTAGCTTTGGATGGTTGCTAAATGAATGGTTGTAAGTCGTGGACAACTGTATTCAAATATTCTTACACATTATATATTTCATACCTTCATGAAACTTTTGGAAGACAATTAGCAATATTGCATTACTGGAATAGAATCGATATTTTACATAATATGAAGTCTCTGCTAAGAGGAAACACAATGAGCAGAGAGCTAAGTACAAAGGCTTCCTGTGCTTCAATGCAAATTTCATCCAGGCTTGTTTTGCTTTAAATTTTAGGGAAAGATTTTGAGAAGAGTTTTTATTTATCTTTTTTATTAATGGAAAGCAAAAGAAGCAGCAGGAGCAAGGTGTCTTGAATAAATGTTTTGAAGTAAAGCTAAAATGGGATTATGTTACACTTTGATTAAAATCATTTGGAGAAACACTTAAATATGTCAAGTTATACTGAACATATGCAGCAAAATTAGAAAAATATAAATATGTTTTGATAAAAACAAACAGAGTCCATAATTAAGGTAGTCAAAATAGAGTACGTTGCTCACAGTCTGAGGTAAATAGAGTACTTTATAATATTTTCTTTAATTTATTACAGCTTGCTTAGCTGTAGCTAGTTTAGCGCCAAGATTTTTAAATCTTGTAATAGATACTAATTTCCAATACCCTATAAGGTGACAGAAGACTTGTTGTATAATCCAAAGCCTAATGCAACTCGCTCAGACTAAAGTGCCATGAAAATAATGGTGTGGCACTAATCACTTCCAGGAAACAGAAAAAGTGCAAAACTAAGCACTCACAAGTTGAACTCAAATCTTCTTGAATTTCCAGCCTGTCTTCCAGTCTTGAAATTTTCACTCAAAACGGAATTACATTCTCAAAGTCAATCCAATCCATGGCAGCAGGGAAATTGACAGTGACAACAGGAGAATGATTTAGGACCACATTTAAATTTTCTACTCATGGAGTTGCTCTTGCCTCTTCAACACCATAGCATGTGCAAAATCATTTGAGGAAGAACAACAACAACAAAAAAATAGGATCACAGAGTAGTAATCATTAAAAGACCATGTAATGCAAGATAATTACAAGTAACTAGAAGTTCAATTTTTTTTTGCTTTGGATTAGATTGTAAGTGAGAAAATGGTAGCTACATAGAATGTAGTCAAAGAAGAGTGAATAGTATTAAAAAAATAAAATTCATTAGGGATGAAACTGAAATGGAAGACTTCTGAAGAGAGTATTTCAGAAATTTCTTTGGGAACAAGAATGATACATTAAAGAGTAGCACTGAACAGAATGCTAGAAATGTTGCCATACAAGAATGAATTGAGAAAATAAAGTAATAAATGCTGTGAGAAAGTTGAAAAAGAACAAGATTGCAGAGGTAGATTATGCAGTTCAAAAAGGTGCAAATATGATATCAGAACCACTGAACTATATTTTTCAAAGATCCTGGAACACAGGGGAACTACCAGAGGACTGGAAAAGAGCTGATGTAGTTCCCATCCTCAAAAAAGGAAAAAAAAATGGATCCAGGAAATTACAGACCTATCAGCCTGACCTCAATACCTGGGAAGATCCTGGAAAAGATAATCAAACAACGAATCAACGAACACCTAGAGGCAAACAAAGTCATTACTAAAAGCCAACATGGGTTTGTCAAAAATAGATCATGCCAGACAAATCTTATTGCATTCTTTGACCAAGTGACAAAATTAGTGGATCAGAGGAATGCTGTGGACATAATTTACTTGGACTTCAGTAAGGCATTTGATAAAGTAGATCACAACCTACTACTTGATAAGATAGAAAAATGTGGGGTAGACAGAACCACCACCAGATGGATCCGTAGCTGGCTGACCGGCCGTACTCAGCGAGTGGTCCTCAATGGAACTGCATCTATATGGAGGGAAGTGTGTAGTGGGGTGCCCCAGGGCTCTGTTCTGGCCCAGTACTCTTCAACATCTTCATCAACGATTTGGATGAAGGGATAGATAGGGAACTCATCAAATTTGCAGACGACACCAAGCTGGCAGGAATAGCCAACACTCCAGAAGACAGACTTAAGATACAGAAGGATCTGGACAGACTTGAACACTGGGCACTAACTAACAAAATGAAATTCAATGGTGAAAAAAGCAAGGTTCTACATTTAGGCAAGAAAAACCAAATGCACAAGTACAGCATAGGTGGCACCATGCTCAATAGTAGTAACTGTGAGAGGGACCTCGGAGTCCTAGTAGACAATCACCTAAATATGAGCCAGCAGTGTGCTGCAGCTGTCAAAAAGGCCAACACAGTGCTAGGCTGCATTAACAGAGGGATAGAATCAAGATCACGTGAAGTATTAATACCACTCTTCAATGCCTTGGTAAGGCCACACTTGGAATACTGCATCCAGTTTTGGTCACCACGATGTAAAAAAGATGTTGAGACTCTAGAAGAGTACAGAGAAGAGCAACAAAGATGATTAGGGGACTGGAGGCTAAAACATATAAGGAACGGTTGCTAGAATTGGGTATGTCTAGTTTAACGAAGAGAAGGACAAGGGGGGACATGATAGCAGCATTCCAATATCTCAGGGGCTGCCATAAAGAAGAGGGAATTAAGCTATTTTCCAAAGCACCTGAAGGCAGGACAAGAAGCAACGGGTGGAAACTAATCAAGGAGAGAAGCAACCTAGAACTAAGGAGAAACTTCCTGACAGTGAGAACAATTAATCAGTGGAACAGCCTGCCTCCAGAAGCAGTAAATGCTCCAACAATGGAAGTTTTTAAGAAGAGACTGGACAGCCATTTGTCCGAAATGGTGTAGGGTTTCCTGCCTGAGCAGGGGGTTGGACTAGATGACCTCCAAGGTCCCTTCCAACTTTACTACTACTATTACTACTACTAATATTTGTTAATATCTCTAAGCTTGATAATTGGGAGAACGCTTTTTCCCTAATGCAAGGAAATAAAGAGCAAGAATGAATGTAAAACACAAATGGTTTAATTAGTGAAGTATGACTGGGGAGACATTTGAATGAATTCTGATTGAAAGGGGAGAGAAGGGGACAATGACAAGAATTTGGGAAGCACACAACAACTAAATTCCAAGCAGGACTTGGGCAAACCAGATTTTTTTTCCCTTCTTCAGCATTAAAGAACATTGATTGAAAAAAAGTGTATTTATTTAAAGAAAGGATATGATATAAGCTTGAATTATTAAACGTTTTGTATGAATACAGAGCTGAAGTGTGGTATAGATGAAAGATAAGTACGTGCAAGAATATTCCTTTGAGCAAGGAATAAGAATATTATGGGGCTGTCCTAATTCCTAATAGACTTATGGATAATTGTATACAATGTTTATGGTAACGTTAGAAGTATATTTATTGGAAATGTGTATTTTGTTGAATGTGTATGTATATACAGATGATGCTGTGTTGTTGGCTAAGAACCCACAGAGATCGGAGCAAATATTCAATAGACTATATGATGCCATGGATCTGAAATTTAATTCATCAAGGATCAAAATCTTTGTATTTGGCAAATAAGGAGGCTGTTGGCAAAGACCCTGCAGAAGCATAAGAGGGAAAAGGAGAGCAATTTCCCCTAAATTGCAGTAAACATTCCAGAGCTATGCAAAATATATTTAAGTGTTTCTGTAGGTTAGAACTGCCTTCTAAAACCTTAGTATTAAGAATGTGGCAATGGTGTGTTTAAGGAAAATAAGGAATTGTAATGAGCATAATTCCAACTGTTTTGTACTGCTATTTCAAAAGGAATTTGGCTTAAGAAGTAAGACTAATCAGTTTCACCAACTGAAATATCACTCAATTTTTTGAACCATCCTTCAATGCATTTTTCTCTCTACCTTTGAGGATCTTCAAGGCTATGTAGTTAGTAATTTGGGTGCTGCAACACACACACACACACACACACACACACACACACACACACGAAAACCAGATATGGATAATTTGTGGCCTTACAAATATGGAATGACTTCCAGCATCAGTTACAATTACTCAAATAATTAGAGGGACAGTTTCCTCTTCTCTATATTATACATACAAACTCATCACACATTTAAAATTTTTAATTATGCCTTGACTTTATAAAACAAGCATCAAAATTCGACACCGCAGAAGAGCATTTTCCAATCATTTTTCTGCAAATGTAATATTTTTTTTCAAACAGTTTAGCTTCCACTATAACTAACTGAGCGATATGCACATGTGCAGTTGGAAGACAATGGGTTGAAACAGTTTCCTCTGAAAATATGGAATTAACAAGTCACAGTAATCATTTGCAAATTTTATCAATGTAATTATTTCCAATACATTAGTATTTACAGGCAGTCCTCAACTTATGACCCCAAAATTGAGCCCAAAATTTCTGTTGCTAAGTGAGACAATTAAATTAATTTTGGCCCATTTTATGACCTGTCCTGCCACAGTTATTAAGTTGAATCACTGCAGTTGTTAAGTTAGTAACATGGTTGTTAAGTGAATTGATTTTGCTGCTCAAAAGGTCACACAAAGTGATCATATGACCTTGGGACATTGCAACTGCATAAATATGAGCCAGTTCCCAAGTGTCTGAATTTTGATCATGTGAGCATGGGGATGTTGCAATGGTCATGTGTGAAAAAAGGTCGTAAGTCTCTTTTCAAACGGTCCAGTAAATGAACTGTATAAATATTAACAAAAAGTCAGTACAAAGCATGAAATTCTTACCGTGATAAGCTCAGATTTATACCAAGGATCAAAATAGTTGTTTGTTTTCAAGAGTAATAATTCACTTTTTTGTCCACATATTTGACTTCATGCAATTGTTTCCTATTTTTCAGTTAATGGTGAATATGCTGAAAGGAAGAAATAGAAAAGTCAGCTTATTAGAAAGTGAATTGATCATCAACGGATTATCTTAAGAATTATTTATTTGCATTCAAAAGAATAAAAATATTAGAAACGTACAGCTTTTCAGAGGTGACTTATAATATATCACCACTTTGGGGAGCGTATTTACTATTCCAAAGCTTCCTTGTTTAATATCTGATTTAATAGGAATGGAACGCTTTTCTACATTACCACTTACATAAGTCAAGGATTGGAGAACCAGATAGTAAGAATATTAGATGGTAATATTATAAATACGTTTTACAGCCCTTGAGAGGTGAGCTGAGCAAATATATGATTCTTCGATTATCCAAAGTAAAAAAGCAATATACCTGTCTATCCACTTTTGAAATTTAAATGGCAGCAGAAAAACAGAAAAACCTCAAGGCATCTTACTTAATAAATGTGTCAAGGGTATCTGAAATGCTAGTTTAATACAATGAATTTAAGAATTATCTTATCAGTTCTCGGATCACTTCTCGAACCAAATTTATTTGCATTTACAAGTTTAAGATGTTCTATGAGAAAGATGCTAACTATGCATATCTGTGTTGATAGACCCAGAATTATATTATTTTATATTTTACATAATACAAAAAGGAGTTTGAAATTAAACTCATTTTTAACTTCAAATTTCTATTTAAATGAAATAAATATTAGAATCAGTTGTTTTCCATTAAGATCTTCTAGGCCTCATTTTGATGTACCACACATGTTCTCGATTAAACCACCATCAGTGGTTTATTACAAAAGCAACAGGATATAAAACCAGTTTTAAACTTGGCTGAAGCAATCTGGCTGCTGATCAGGGTTATAAATGCACTTCCTGCCACATACATACATACATACACAAACACAGACACACACACCCCAAAATAGAAAAAAATATTTTCTCAATGATCCATCTGGAGCAAAGATGAAAATATAGTTTTATTAGGAATGTAATGTTTTTGCCATACAAACAAGTATATAAGTACAACATACAGATATGAAGCTTACCAAAGTCTTATACTCATTATTGATTATGTTTACAGTTCTAAGAAGAATAGTTATTTCTTAAGAGTGGGCCTCTATTGCTGAAATTTACAGGTCAATATATTGTACTAGTCATGACCTCTGGGCTTTAAGAGTTCTACTGAGGTTTCAGTAAAAGATTGTACAATAAATGTTATACAGGGGACTCAATATGTACATTTTACTTCTATACACAGGAACTGAATGTCATTGATCAGAAATCTGCCATGAATACGTAAATAAGAACTAGTCTCAGTCAAAGACATTGCAGAAAAAAGAAAATAAAAGACAAGCACTCCTAAATCTATATTGTATAATGATATATCTTACTGAATATTTTTTCTGTTACAAAAACAAACTTCCACCCCTCAAAAAAGATTGGTAGAAACAGAAGCAAATCTAATATTTACAAAAAGCCTCTTTAATAAACAGAGTTGATGGCTATTGAAATGGTTCTGTAAATGGGTTCAGGGTAAATATGAAACAAAGTTTCATAAAAAGAAGTCAATAAGAAAACATTGAAAAGTACATTGCCTTCTTTAAAATAAATAATTTACTAATATATGACTGCATTTATATATGCCAGCTTTTTGCTTTGTTCTTGATTTTTCTAATTCATTTTCCCATAACTTTTGCGAGTGGGGAAAAAAATAAAACAGCAACATCTGATAATAGTTAGCCTACTTATTATCAGATGTTGCTGTTTTATTTTTTTCCCCATCTCAATCGATATTTTTGATAACCTGAGTACTAGATGAACTAAGCTGAGTCATTCATTGACTCCCTTTATTTTTTAGCCAAGAACTCTTTCATTTTCCTTCCAGTAATCACCTAATCAAAATATGTGATAATATATACTTGGACTATACTTATAAGCATACTTACATACTTCAGTAAGGCATTTGATAAAGTATACCACAACGTACTACTTGATACGATAGAAAAATGTGGGTTAGACAGCATCACCACCAGATGGGATTCATAGCTGGCTGACCGGCCGTACTCAGTATGTGGTCCTCAATGGAACAGCATCTACATGGAGGAAAGTGTGTAGTGGGGTGTCCCAGGGCTCTGTTCTGGGCCCAGTGCTCTGCAACATCTTCATCAATGATTTGGATGAAGGGATAGATGGGGAATTCATCAAATTTGCAGACGACACCAAGCTGGCAGAAATAGCCAACACTCCAGAAGACAGGCTTAAGATACAGAAGGATCTTGACAGACTTGAATACTGGGCACTATCTAACAAAATGAAATTCAATGGTGAAAAAAGTAAGGTTCTACATTTAGGCAAGAAAAACCAAATGTACAGGTATAGTATAGGGGGTACCTTGCTCAATAGTAGCAACTATGAGAGAGATCTCAGAGTCCTAGTGAACAATCACTTAAATATGAGCCAGCAGTGTGCTGCAGCTACCAAAAAAACCCAAGACAGTGCTAGGATAGAATCAAGATCACATGAAGTCTTAATAGCACTTTACAATGCCTTGATAAGGCCACAGTTGGAATACCACATCCCGTTTTGGTCACCACAATGTAAAAAAGATGTTGAGACTCTAGAAAGAGTACAGAGAAGAGCAACAAAGATGATTAGAGTACGGGAGGCTAAAACATATAAGGAACGATTTCTGGAATTGGGTATGTCTAGTTTAATGAAGAGAAGGATGAGGGGGGACACGATAGCAGTGTTCCAATATCTCAGGGGCTGCCACAAAGAAGAGGGAGTCAAGCTATTCTCCAAAGCACCTGAAGGCAGGACAAGAAGCAACGGATGGAAACTAACCAAAGAGAGAAGCAACCTAGAACTAAGAAGAAATTTCAATTAGAACAATTAACCAGTGGAACAACCTGCCTCCAGAAGCTGCGAATGGTCCAACACTGGAAGTTTTTAAGAAGAGACTGGACAGCCATTTGTCTGAAATAGTATAGGGTTTCCTACCTGAGCAGGGGGTTCGACTGGATGACCTCCAAGGTCCCTTCCATCATCATCATCATCATCATCATTACTATTATTATTATTATTATATTTTACTACTGCTGGAGTTGAAATGCCACTATTGTAATGGAGAGATTGATCTCTTGATCATAGAGTAAAGATGTTTGGGAGATCATTTTATAAAGAGAAAAAAGGCAATAGTTATGCTTCTACCCCAGATATTTACCCCTTTAATAATAAAAAAACCCCATAGGTTTAAAAATAATAACAGTATTTCAGCAGAATATTACCAAGCTTCCAGGTTTCAAACACTGTCATGTGATCAAAACTTAGGCGCTTGTATTTCAAAATTCAATTGGCATGTATTTACAAGGCTTGCAGCATCCCAGGGTCATGTAATTGCCATCTGTGACCTCCCCAGCTGGCTTCTGACAAGCGAAGTCAATGGGGAAGCTGGATGCGCTTAACAACTGCATGATTAACTTAACTGCAATGATTTGTTTAACAACCATGGCAAAAAAAAAGTCATAAAATCCGACATGACTCACTTAACAATCGCTTTCCTTAGCAACAGAAATTCTGTCTCCTTGTTGTATGTGGAGGATTAACTACACTTTTCTGTGCTCCATATTTCTCTACTAAAAAAAATAAACTCTACCAATTTCAACTGGATATTCATGTATTCCCAAGTAAGCTTGAACAAGCTGCAACTTTAATCCATAAAGCATTACTGCAGACTTCAGGAAATATCACTTCTTATTCTGATGTACTAGAACAGTAGATAATAGAAGCCAATGAACCTTGAAAAAAGATAATCCTATCACTCAGCCAAAGCTCAATATTATTATTTTTATTCCAGGCAACAGAATATAAGGAACTAACAGGACTGGGGAAAGGACGTCAATATTTCTGTGTGTGTGTGTGTGTGTGTGTGTGTGTGTGTGTGTGTCTGTCTGTCTGTCTGTCTGTCTGTCTGTCTGTCTGTCTGTCTATGTGTGTGTGTAGAATAGAGAAAGCATCACTTGGTGTCCCCCTTTCCATAAAATGGTTAAGACTGGAATAACCTAAGGCTACTTGTTTTGGTACTTGGCCATGCCAAGTACCCACAAGTGGTATTTCCAATAGCTCTGGAAAATTCTGTGCTTTTTGATAAGTGATGAAAAAGTAACAAATTTACTTTTATTCATCTCCCTCCTACTCTGCTTTTGCATATCTTTTATCCTATCATCTTTTTTTCATGTTTGCTAATAAGCTTCAGGCTATATTTTTGCTAGCTGAACAGAGTGCATGTGCGTTTGCTTTGATCTGAATATAGATATTTGCAGGAAGTGGTTTTAGGTGCAAACTAAGTTGGAAGTTACAATAATTTATCAACAGAGTTATTGATACTCACCAATAGCAACATATACCAATATATAACATCGACAAAGCTCAAGAAATAAAAGTTTTAAAGATACTCAGAATGCCATTAAAAAGTAGTGTAGAATATTTGGAATCAACCTATTCATTAATTACACATTTATGGATTTAGTTGTATTTCATTCTTCTTCTTCTTCTTGTGCCATATCCGTTATCAGACGTTGGCGATCATGTTGGCGATCTTGTTTTTATCAGCAGCTGCACAAAAAAGTGCTGCTGAGTTTTGTCCAGACCAGTCCCTTAGATTTTGAAGCCATGATGTTGTTCTTCTGCCTAGACCTCGTTTGCCTTCAATCTTTCCCTGGAAGATTACATGGAGTAGCCGTATTTTTCTGGGTGTCACATCACATGTCCGAAATATTCTAATTTTCATTTTTTAATTGTTTTGATGATTTCATTATATAGTTTCATTATAGTATATTATATATTTAACTAAATTTTTAAAGCTAGTTACAATCTCTCCTAATATGAATGCACGTTCTTTTCTCCTTCTACATCTGCAACATATTCAAATATATTGTAACATATTCTTTTACAGTTCTGCCAAGCATATAGTACCATTTAAACAATATCTTGTATAAGTGCTCCCTTGAAAAT